GCTAAAACTCGAAGTAGCTTCAAATGTTCATTTCACCTCTGGATCATCGAGAAGTCTAAGCCCAGTATTGTCCGAGCTAAGGAGGTCTCTAACCACTTCATTGTAGATCTCTATAGCCGAGAACTTGAGCACGAAATTTCTTTCTTTGTGCTGAAAAAAAACAAAAAGAATATAACCAATGAGATCGATTGTTACATATACATATAAACTTTTAGAGTCATTTTAACATAAAGTTTTTCAGTTTTAGTTCCAAGACAATTCTTGTAACTTTCGGTCCTTGCGACCACTTCCAGATCAAAAGTGGTCGGAAGAGACAAAAAGGGTAGAATCGCCTAACAATCATGGGACCAAAAGTGCTAAATTTTTCTTATGAGAAAGTGTGATATGATGAGAGCACCTTGTTAATGTGTTCATATATATCTTGAACAGCATACTTGGTAACACCAGACATAGTATATGTCTTCCCACTGCTTGTCTGTCCATATGCAAAAATACTTGCTGGAGAACCAGACATCAAAACGTTTGTTGTACCAATTCAGTCACTATATTACATACATATAGTGATAAATCAAGCAAGAAAAAAAGAGAGAGTTAAAGTTACCATTAATGCCACTTAGAACTGAAAGAAACACACTTTTTGCAGCCTCATCATAAACCTGTCTTGTTGAGCATTCACACCCAAATACTCTGTCTATTTACCATAAAACCAACCATCAAAATCAAACATTATTCAACTCTCAAAACATATTGTTAGAGGACCTTATGGTGAGCCCAATACAAACAAGCTAATTACAAGACCCTCTAACACATACTCGTGTCTCAAAAAAAAAAATTGTTCGCGGTTGACATGGTCAAAGTTTGACCACTTTGTTTTGTTATTTTCATTGCTTATTTGATAACATAATACGGTTTTGTTACCTTTTATTTTGTAGATTTTTTGTCATAATTTTTAGATGTATGATTTTTTTCTCTAAACTTTGTGCCAATTTTTTTATAAATGGAATTAGAAACAATTTTATTCGCGCATCGTCGCCTGCAACAGAGAATTGTTTTTGGGAAGTAGTGTATTGGCTTAAAATAGGAAACTTTATGCGTTGGATTCATATCCACAATTGTTTATAAGAGATTTATCCTTCCTCAGAATCGTTCTATACTCACCGAATTGATAGGCGGTTGGGGTCGATGAACGTTCCCCGAGACTGTTTTTAAACAAAATGGTGTTGTCATTGATGCATTCCCAATCGGCAATATCGTTCTTTGAAATCTCGATGTCGTTTAGAGGTCTCACCCTAATGGAAACATATATTTTCTCTTCATGTGCACTTGAACCTTGGTCATCCCATTGGGGTGGAAACCCCTCATCCCCACAAGTTGAGCTCATTTTCTTACAAAACAAACAAAAAAAATCCTCTTTCCAACACAAATGCACTTGAAGAGAATCAAAAGTGTTCAAAGCTAAATATCAAGAAATCTTCATATGGTCCTCTCTCAATGAGAGGACCTAACTTTATGAAATACCCCTCTTTGGTTTTTTGCCAAATTGTATTAATAAGATCCTTTTTTAGCTTCTTATTCTTCTTCTTCTCTGCATGGAAAAGAAACTTAATCTAAAAAAAAGTCCAATAAAAACGGCTAATGTTTTAAAAAGAAAAATATAAATATGAATGCATTTTTCTCAATAAAATAAACAAATGGAATGAAAAAAAAGATAAGGATTATGAGAGAATTGCATGCCTTTTGTTTTTAATCCATTTGATATATGTTTTGCCAAACCAAAGAGCCTTGAGAAAAATAACTTCTTTTTATTTTTAATTTTTTTTAAAACAACAAATATTTTTGACAAAAGAGAAGAAAAGGGAGAGACAGAAAGAGTGAAGATAGTTGTGGCTGTGGTTTTCTGGTAGGGCTAGAAATAAGCTCAAAACATACATTTTCTTAATGCTGAGACAAATGCGCATAAGTTTTAAATGGAACTTCTTTTTAAAAAAATTTGTGGAAAAATCTATATAAGCTTTGTTTATTATTAGAAACTATGACAACATAAAAAGTAAAATTACATTACGGTATGTTTGGGAACATGGATTTGGATTTCAAATCCGGATTTGACTCAAATTCCATATTTGGGAAACTTAAAATTTTGAATTTGGATTTGAGTCAAATTATTCTCATTCATAACAAAGCTTAATTTAAAATTCATGCACCTTACATTGTCATTTAAAATTTAAGATTTCAAATTTTGGAATTGAAATGCATGAATTAAAATGAAATGCTAGTTGCCAAACAATACCTAATATCATTTGGCTTTTCATTGTTTCAATGTTATAACAATATATAATTACAAGTGAAAAGTCTAAGAATAACTATCATCGCTTAATACGTAACCAATATTCCGTACTTCATCCACCAATTAGTTTTCCGTTTTGACTTTACACACAAATTTAAAAAAAGTACAAAATATTTTCACTTTTCATGTATTTGTCCTTCATAATTGAAAATGTGAAGTTAAGTAAGGATGGTAGTAATTAGTGGTAAAGGTGAGTGTAACATTGTCATTTAAAGAAAAAAAAGAATGAAGTAAAATTATGGACAGACAAATAAGAAAAGTGAAAACAAAATTTATGAACGGAGGGGTAATATGTAACCCTAATTCTCATCTTCTTTTCTCTTTTCTTGAAAATTTGAAGATGCTCGTAGTTTTCTTCTCTTTCTTCTTAGAGTTTGAAGATATTTGAAATTTTCTTTATCACGATACGAATTCGTATCACTTGGTCATCTCGTTGAAAGTGATTCAAAAAAAAAACCATCCATGCTAAAAACAAAAATTGAGCAAGGGAATGTCCCAACGGCGCAAATAGCAAATATGCAATGTATACCAACATTAGTGTTTGTTTTAAATACGTTTTGTCAGAAGTAATAAACAAATCCGTTGTAGTCTAGCTGGTTAGGATACTCGGCTCTCACCCGAGAGACCCGGGTTCAAGTCCCGGCAACGGAAATTTTTTTATTCCAATCAGTCATCATTTTTATATAGCACAGTACTTCGAGGGAAGTATTTCTACATCACGTTATAAATTGAGAGAACTAGTATATATATATTTTTAATGTACAGCCCCAAAATAAAACTACAAATTTTACTTCTTATTTATAAAAGAAATTTGTGGTTAATAAAATTTTTATTTCATTTAAATAAATTTTCATTATACCATTTTGCAATTTCTTACGTACACATCCAAAAGAATACTTTTATTTTACTTTTTATTTTTTTTAAAAAAATTAAACATATTAAATGCAAAACTCTTAGAGTGTTGCTTAGATTTAAGAAGTTGATGTGAAACACCGTTGTTGTGGATTGTGGAGTTGGTTATTTAGTTAGTATTTATTTATTAATTAGTATTTATCATTTAAAATATATTGTAAATTAGTTTTTATTAGACGCACAAAATTATAAACTTTTTTGAGGGTTTATTTTTTGTTTTTTATTTCGATGCATTTCTTGAATCGACATTATTGGAGTTAAAGTTTCTCTATCTCCTATAAATAGAGGTAGCCCCTTTCAGAATTATACAAATTTTCTATAACTTAGAGTTCGCATCTCTGATCATCAAATTGTAAAAACACAATATTATACTACAAAATTTATATAACTTACTCCCTTTGTTATTTCCATAATCTCTTGTTGAGCAAAAATTTTACTTTTTTTTGGCTTTGGAATGATATGAAATAAAATAAATAAATCTCTAAATTATTTGCACTTCTTTAACTAATGAAGTAGCAATTAGTCAATCAACGCATCTTTTGATGCCGAGCCATGAGTCTCTTTGAAAACAATCTCTCTAATTTTGAATATGGGCAAGGTCTGTTTATACGCACCCTCCCCATACCCTACTCTTGTGAGACTCAACTGAGTTGTGTTTATTCCCTCCGTTACCAATAAATTAAGACAGTTTGTTTATATGTATTTGAGAGAAAATATTGAACAATAAAATATCGGTGATTGAAATTCGTTGAGAAGAAAAAAGAGAAATATAGATCCCATGTCCTTTTCAAATACTAAAAACAGATTGATCATCATAAATTATTTACGTATTCATTATCTTTATTAGCAGGTGCTAAAATATGTGTGTATTTCATCCTAGTACATTACTCCCTCCGTCCCTAAATATTTGTCATACTTGTATTCTCGAAGTAAAATATCAAATTTTTTCAATTCATTTTATTTATATATTGGTACAGAAATAAAAAATAAAATTGACATATCAAAAAACTACATGAAAAGTTCTTCAAAATAAGAGGTGTCAAGAATACTTTATTTTATCAAATAACCAATGAAAACGTAGAAATAAACAAAAGTTTCCACGACTGCTAAAAATGCAAACGTTGCAAATAATTTGGGACTGATGGAGTATTATTTTGTTTTGAAATTGGGTTTATGGTTTGGGTTCTTGGTATTATGAGTTGTTAAGTAACATATGTGTCTCACATGTTTGTGGCACGTGCGATATCGTGAATAGTACTCGTAACAAAAAAGACACGTAACCGGGACGATTGGAAGGGATCTACCTGAGACCAACTGCAATGTTTTACAGATAGAACACTTCTCTTGCAAGCATATACACTCTCCATCCCATATTTGATTGGGAATTGGGATTTACGAGGTAAAATTTCTTATTTTTTGAAATTATTTTATTTACAAATTAGTTTATCAATAAAAATTAAAAAATTACGTAAAATTTTTTACAAAACAAGTGGTGACAAGAATATTTTATCTTATCAAATAATCAATGAAACATACAAATAAACAAAAGTTATCGAGAGAGGAAAGAGAGAAAATTGTAATTAAAATTGAGACCAAAGGAGTATATGTATATATGCATATGTTCTTGGTGGGGTTAGGGTTCACTTCAAGTCATCTATGTACCCTTTAATTTATTTATTTTTAAATTATTACAGTTTTATTTTTTTGTGACCATGAAAAGGCTAGCCTCATGTGGTTGCGTTCACTGCTAATATGAGTGATTAATTTATTATTAGGAAGCAATTTATGTCAATTAGCACTAAAAATCTACAAGTGCTAAATCCTGAGTGAGGGTGCATTTGACTAATTTGAGGGAGATGCAACATGAACCCCTCAAATACACACACTTAGTGCTAGGCCTTACAAGATCAATTGTTCCATAGCGGAGGCAATTGACGAGAGATTGCTCGGAGATTTGTTAAGTTACAATCAAATGAATGCACACTTAGAGCTTGTTCTCTTCAGCTTATTCTTATTATTACTTACAAGGTATTACTTATTCTAATTGGAATATTAATAGGTCAAATCAAACCAAATAAAAAAGAAGTTCAAATATAACTACAATTGAAGGAAATTAGATTAGACCTTGATATAATTATATCAGACTTTTATAAAACTAGATCAGACCTTAATAAAACCATATTAGACCTTAATAAAATCAGATCACATCCAATCAAATTAAACGAAAAGTACAAGCTTTTATTGGCTTAAATGATTAGCTAGCTACTCATACCACAAGTGGTGCACCAATTCTTTTCAAGAGTTCAATTTTTAAGAAACTTCAAACTTAAGCGTGCTTACTTTATATATATATATATATATATATATATATATATATATATATATATATATATATATATATATATATATATATATATATATATATATATATATATATATATATATATATATATATATATATATATATATATATATATATATATATATATATATATATATATATATATATATAGCCATAGACTCATAAAACTCAACTCTACCCTAATAATATATAAGCTGAAAGAAACGTGCACACATTGCAGCATTAATGGGGAAGCAAGTATGGAGAGGCTTAATCTTGTTGTGGTGGCTCGTCATCATCATAGCCTTACCAATGGGAGATATGAATGGCCAAAACCAGGGAGTAGG